GCAGGAATGAGGTACCCCAGAATTTATGGCTCCCTTATAATGGGTGGAAGTGAAAGACCTTTTGCTGCAGGCCAGAGCTATTTAGATGTCAGAATCTTTTCTCTGGTCTGTAAAACATTTTTGAGAGGTATTTCAAGTATGCTGCTAAATTTAAAAAAAGAAGTATTAGAAATTAATGTTAGAAAAGGCTACAACAAAAGTAATTTGTGTAATGACTGGCAAATAAACTCATGTCTAGATCACAACTCTCTCCAGCAACTTGGAAATAGAAAAAGTGATTGTTCTATGTACAACTTAAGCAACTTCTATATTCTCTTAAATAAGATGCTTATTTTAAGAGCAGTGTCTGTCAGTGGGGTACATGGATTTGCCTGTTGTGTGGCATGGAAAAACACAACCTAGTTTAAACTAACTAGTGCAGGCAGCAATCAAAGCACCCAAACAGAACTCAGCATAGAATAATTTGTTACTCCTCAGCAGTGTTAATCAGTCTGTAGTTTTGTGTGGCCAAGCCAGGTACTTCTGACCTGTGTGTTACCTCAAATATGTGTCCCACTCCAGAGTAAAACCCTTCAAAGATACAGGCAATGGTGACATATCCAAGGGCAGGCAGTGCCAAAGCAGCAGGACATGGGTCTTCTCCACCAGTTCTCTTCAGTGGCTGCTGGAGAGTACTTTTCTACCAAGAAAAAGAGGTAATGCAAGAGCAGAATCACAAATAAATATGTAGCAATCAATACAAACCCATTAACTGCTTCTGATTCTTGATTGATCTCAACCCATTTCTGAATTGTGCAAGCAGGAAATCTGTCTCAAACAGGTAAAATTAAGGTTTATCTGAAAGTCAAGCAGTATCTTCTTGGGTTAAAAACATTCTCTTATTGTGCTTTTCCACATACCCTGCTTGGTTTTATGGCCAGATTATAAGTGTTTGAGCCTGTGTTAAAAAGCAATGCTGTTTTCCAGCCTTGATTTGCCCTTGTCTGGACATATTCCTTTGTGGCAAGAACATTTCTTGTAACACTTAATACTCAAATTGTTCACTATAATGTGTAGCTGAAGAGCAGTGAGGAACAGCATTGCCAGACAGTCACAAACAAATAAATCCTTATGAGCCCAGGAACAAGTTACTATTACATTTTTAGGCTCTTGTCTCAAGACTTAGGAAATGCCGTGGTATCACTCAAGAGGTGAGGTGACATAAAAAGGCTCATTTCACACCTACTGTGAGGTTTGATTCTGTGGAGGATCATCTTGCTCAGTCACTGCCACGGTGAGACTGTTGGACCGTGTGACTTTCCCTGGTTATCCCTCGAGGATCATCCATTCCTCAGACATGTTCAGCATGGAAGGACATACCCAGGTTCCTCCTTATCAGCAATGACCATCATAACAAAGTCTGCAGGTTCTCAAAATCTGGAATTGACTCCTCCCTGTTGGATGCAACAGTCCAAAGTGCCTTCTGCAGAGATGAGATGTCAGGAGTAGATCATTCATCTTGGGTACAAAAGGAAAAGACCTTTAGGATCATCAAGTCCAACTGATAATGAAGCGCTGCCAAGGCCACCACTAAACCATGTCCCTCAGCACCACATCTACATGGCTTTCCAATATCTCCAGGGCACAAAACCTTCCCTTTAAGTCCCAGGTCACCTCCCACAGAGTTTCATGGCTCATCTCAGAATCAATGCTTCAATCCTTTCTTCCCTTTTCAATGTCTGTCTTTATTCTTATGAGCTCAAGGCAAGACCATGCTTGAATTTTCCCACATAGAATCACAGATGGGTTTGGGTTGGAGGGGACCTTAAAAAGCATCTAGTTCCAACCCCCTGCATGGGCAGGGACACCTCCCACCAGACCAGGTTCCTCCAAGCCCCATCCAACCTGCCCTTCAACATCACCTCCCACAGAGTTTCATGGCTCATCTCAGAATCGATGCTTCAATCCTTGCTTCCCTTTTCAACATCTGTCTTTATTCTTATGAGCTCAAGACAAGACCATGCTTGAATTTTCCCATATAGAATCACAGATGGGTTTGGGTTGGAAGGGACCTTAAAAATCATCTAGTTCCAACGCCCTGCATGGGCAGGGACACCTCCCACCAGACCAGGTTCCTCCAAGCCCCATCCAACCTGCCCTTCAACACTGCCAGGGATGGGGCAGCCACAGCTTCCCTGGGCAACTTGTTCCTGTCTCTCATCACCGTCACATTGAAGAATTTTTCCTAATGTTTAACCTCAACCTCTCCTCTTACAGTTTAAAAGCATTCCCTCTTGTCCTTTCACTCAATGTCCTTGTCCAAAGTCCCTCCCCAGCTTGCTCAGTAGCACTTTAGCAGCAGCAGTTACCAGTTGATACAGCACGAAAACTCATCTCTGCATGGTTTGGTTTCCTGTTAACCTTGAGTCATCAAGGTTAACAACCTGATCAGTTAATAATGATGAATCCTTCTTCTTTTTCTGAGGAAAAAAAATTAGTTCAACTCATCAAATTCATTGCAGGAGTGAGGCTGGATCTCTGTTTGGTGTCTGAGTCAGCTCCATGTGATATGTGCTCTCTTTGAACCACCACCACCTCCGGATCAGTTGTAGAATAACTACGATACCTTATTATTATTTATTTCTTTATTGGCTGTCATGCACTGTGTATTGGTCCTGTGTCCAGTCCTGGACCTCCCAACACAGGAAGGACATGGAGCTCTTGAGTCCAGAGGAGGCCCCGGAGATGCTGGGAGGGCTGGAGCAGCTCTGCTCTGGAGCCAGGCTGGGAGAGTTGGGGGGTTGAGCCTGGAGAAGAGAAGGCTCCAGGGAGACCTGAGAGCAGCTTCCAGTGCCTGAAGGGGCTCCAGGAAAGCTGGAGAGGGGCTTTTTTAGCAGGGTGTGTAGTGATAGGATGAGGGGTAATGGTTTTAAACTGGAAGAGGGAAGGTTAGGTTGGACATTAGAAATAAATTCTTTAG